GCAAATCGTTGAAGCGATCACGGATCCCTTCGCAGATCTTGATGCATGATGTTATAGTAGCAGTTGAATACAGAAAGAGAAGTCGCGCTTTTACAGGTGAGCAAACTTTTCGCGGCCTTTGTCGACGCGAAGTATATTTTAGGAAATTTATATGAATAATGTTTCGATTGTAACATGTGTCATGGTGACTATGAAAATTAGGCAGATACTAAGCAAGTTGAATGTGAGATGAGAAGTGCACATGCGAATCACGTAGGCACCAAAACAATCTTGTCTGCAGTCTCTAGTCTAAACGTCCGTCGGGCACCGACATACGTGTGTGCCGAGAAGACAGAGGTGGATATACCGACATGGGCGTTGTCTACCCCACCAATGTTGGATCTATACAAAACTATCGGTATTGAGTAGATCAAGAGCGACCACGCCATTTTTGTCGTCAGGAGAAGTGAAGGTGAGTAAGCTCACTGATGTTTAGTACTTACTAGAGCCTTTTCCTGGGTCTCACGCCAGAATAGGCTCTAAGGTTCCGGGCGGTGAAGCTGCAGTTCATCTCACGAACCAAGAGAGCTGTCAGTGACGCGATTTAAAATCATAAATTGCGATTTCAGCCCTCCGAAGTACAACCATACATTTAAAGATACCACCAAGACAGACTTACTCAGTGACTGTATGTTGGAACTAATGTATATTCAAGAGGCCTGTCAAGTCTATAGATATTGACTAATTTGTAAGGTGCTCTGTTCCTACTGACTCCTGCCATTTAACGGCACGTTAAGCTTTTGGATCGAATAAACAATATTGGGCAGTCGTTTCTGGTATTTTCTTGGCGAACATCCGACTGGCCGATACATCGAGAGATTCTAAGCCGCGTAGTCCGTCAGATCACCCTCGAAGTCCTGTGAGTACAGTGAAACTGTTTTAGTACCTTAAAGGATACATTCTTATGTATCTAGAGACACCAGGGGTGAAGTACGACACTCAAAACCGTTGTGTTTTGTCACCCGACAAAAGATGTTCACTTTTGACACCGCTCAATAATACTGCAAAATGAGTTATGGATATTTAGCGATATCAGAGATGTGTTGTTATAGATCTTCGATATCCTCATATTTTCGTGAGCGATAGGACGCCAATTTGACATGACTACATACTTGGGCTAGCGATTACCTTTTCCGCCACCGAGATCGATTGCCCTATCCAATCCGTTTCTAAACGGATACTATAGGCACGCGATTTTGGAAGATACTTTTGCACAAGAACATGTGCAAGACTCTTGAGGAACTCCATGATATCTACGTGCATTTCAACAAGCTTATAAACGATACAGGTCGTGAGTTATCACGTGGTCCGAATTTCAACCGACAACTACGATTTCTCGGAGTCAACTTGACGGATCAGAGTGAACCCTCTACTCGACACGGAGTGGCCCAAACGTTTGTCTGAGCTGCAATTTGGAATTTTCTACACTTTAAAGCATCTGGTCGCTAAGTGTGATCTTTAAAGATCGATAAAACCACGTTTAGCTCTATTAGTCACCCCGAACTCAGTGAGTGATTAAAATGTGAGGTATAGGTAGGTACGCGTACGACCTGCTATATCCCGTCGCTAAGCAACTGAGTTACCGCAACAAAGACTACCTTATGGACTAGGTAGCACTATACCTCGGATAGCAGAGCTCCTACGCGCAGACTCTTGCTTCGAGATGATCAGGCTCCGCGGTTTCAGTACGGGGGCTGGTATGACGTGTTGATCGGCGTGAGATGCCTCCAGCCAGTATTTGACATCCTTGGCGAGAAAAGCCAACATTTCCTCGATAGCTCCGTGGCCGGAATAATCGTGCACTTGCATAGAAGCTCCCGTGTCCATAGCGATGTTTGCCAGTCTACCCGCCATTTCGTTGTATGTGCGATAATGATGCCCTCAACTCAAGGAGGGTGTTGAGTCCGAAGTTGCGAAAGTACTAACGCACTGTCACCAATGACATGCAGTGGTGAATAGCCACATACTTTCGATTGTCGAAGAGCAGTAGTGGGTAGCCACTGATTTTAGCTTGTCGAAGACGATACACGAGCCCCCAATATTTTGCAACATAGGTAGTGGTATCTGCAGAGCCATAAGTCATTATTGATACCATCAAGACGTACATGGTGTGCGCCTGAATGAGGATTGAAACAATGAAGGATCCAGCTCCACCCGGACCTGAATTTTCTCGGGATCCTCCGTAAGAAAACAGGGATGTAGGACTCCAGGTCACTTTCCGATGAGCAGCCTTTGCAGCGCAGGCGGATCGTCGAAGCAAAGGAGAGAATCATCGAATACTGACCTTACTTGGGCAAGGAGTTGCCCTTATCCTCCCATATCAGGCCGGTATGTTGACCCACAAATCTTTAAAACTGACCTTCGAAGGATTTTCCTGGCCCTGTCTACATGTATCTCCTGATGCAAAAATGGGTCGTCCATGCGGCGGAGGCGCTCGCCCCAGATGGAATGGAGTATTGTAAAAACGATGAAACGACACAGTTCGCGAGGTGCTGGGAAGACCGCAGCCTGAGCTTTTGACAACTCTGCAACCGGATCGAATGTTTGTTGGATAGCATATCAAGCACTTTGCGGGATTTAAAAGGATGCTCATGCCAAACAGTCAGACGTTACAGTCCGACTCCTTAAGAAAGGCGAGCCATAGCTATCAATCAAGGAGATCGTCCCAGTGGTGACGTGCACTAGGGCAGGTTAAAATGCATGACTTGCCAGTGCTCGGTCTGCAGCCGAACACTTAGGAACGGGGTACGACAGATCTTGGGAAGCCGAATTCCAGAGCATAAAAATTTACTGTTCAGTCGATACAGCGTCTGGGCGTTCGTCGAAAAGGACGCTCTGATTCGCCGGATATCTCTTTAAGTGATCAACGGTGTACATTCAGAAATCACCTGAAAGCCGTCTTCGCCACACGTTTACCGAGACTTCTAGTTTCTTTAGCACGGCGCCTTCGAAGGAATTCTTTCAAGTTTCCTTCGGATGGACCGCCATCTTCAACGTCCGGCCCACATGCGCACAACGTGCGTGATTGCCAGATGCGCGCCAAAGTGAACAGGAGTCCCACCGGCTGTAGACACGGCAATATCGCAGACCTATATCGACGAGATTAGTTGTACTCCGCATTCCATGCCCGTATCCAAATGTGCCAGCGATGTTCCTTCACTGGTGAGGAGCCCTAGTCATTCCAGACTCAACTTTCATCGCGTTGTTTTGATTCTACGAGCTTTGGAGGCCTTTCCAATGATGCTGAGCCATTTCTACAAGGTGTCTTCATTGGCCGCCTTCAACATGAAGGCTTCGGGTAGATGCGCATGCGTCACCCCGCAAAATGTGCATGTTAGTGGTTTACATATTATACAATATATAGCTCACCCTGTTATCTCAGGAGCGATGCTGATCGAAACCATTTGCTGATGAAGCAAGCTTACTTATTCTAGCCGCGTCAAGCATGATGCACGAGCTTGGCGGTCGTGAACTGTGTGTTGCATATTTTCCTACAGGACCAACGGCATGGCACTAAGGGCTGTTCCACGAACGGTCGGGCTCACTGGTCCGACCTCGTTTCGGTTGAGGTCACTGAGCTTTTAGCCGTGGAGATCCAGATGTCCTTTCTTACCTTGGATCAAGAAGTGCCGCCAGGTGGAATGGGGCGCCTCCCTTGTTCACTTTGACTCACTGACAACAGTAAAATCGACTTGTAAAGTAGCTCTATAGACAGGTGCCTCAATACCATACGTACGCTGTCGCAAAGAAAGTAAAAGATCAATTGAAATACAGTGCTAAGTAAATGGAAAAGTACGTGCAGGCAGTATAACTAAGGCTTTCTGATGTAGTGTACCGTACGCCCTCTTTGAATACATCTCGTGACACGTTGTAGCATCAATGTGTAACGACTAGAGGTCACAAAAGTAGATGCGAAAAAGGGGTGTTTAAAGTACCGCTACATCCTCCTGGCTAGCTGTCAAATTCTCGTGGCAGGAGAAAGGAAGAATGAAACTCGCTCAGTTGTTCGATGTAACACGACAACGAAGTATGATTGCGCTTTACTTTCTTACTGCATCACCTGGAAGTTTGCCATTGCTGCCTACCTGCTCACCACTCACGGTGCGCACGTCTGTTACTGACAGTGACATTGTTGTTTCCTACAAAATATACACCATCCGATGCGCAGCGTGATGTCAGCTGCTACCGAACGTTATCTTCAAAAGAGTGTTCTCCCTTTGTATTACCCGCTCACGTAATTTCCGATGTGTACAATCCGTAACGATGATATGCACCGTGACAAAAAGCGCTTGAATGTCGTTGTTTTCGAACGTGAGGTATGTTGAGGAACGTTGTCGGCCATCAGTACCCACGTCGGTTGACTGTCAATGTCATGCAACAACAGGCGCACCACAATGCATCAGAGCTATGGCCGATCACTCCATTTCGCTTTCAAGGGAACAGGCACTTCATGCCATGTACCAAATGTGCGAGCTGGTTAAAGTAGAATGACTAGTGAACTGCAAGCTGCATGACGTAGCCATTCTCCTGGCGTCTCGACGTACATCTGAACATCCCAGACCTTCATTTATCGGGACCTGTCGCCCACTCGAGTACTTACACACACGATCAGGTGCGTCGTGACGCATACCTCGAGAAAGCTCAGCTTGCTTTCGTGGTCCGGCACGTACCCCCATGGCACGAGATCGCTGTCAAGAGCCCAGAGAAGCAGCACGAGCGTTGCAGCGCATACAAAAGAAAGTCAACGAGCCAACAGATCGCACCGAGAACACAAAGGACACTCGCTCGTTGCGTCTGTGCCCTATGCGCTTATACAGTTTCCCGGCTGCGCCACTCACTTACTGTTTTCCCCAAGACGTCGATTCGCGTTAGCGTCCCCTATCCAGCCCCCGCGCTATTCTGCGCGCCTCGACGCTATCATCCCCCGCGGCCACCACTTGTCGTCGTCCTCTTCTCGCTCCATGGGGCAGCACTTCCTCTTCCACCGCGACCTCGTGGCGGCCACGGCCGTGCACCACGCAGCAACCGCTCGTCTCTCCAACGACGTCCAGGCCGACCTCGTGCTCCTGGGGCCGCAGTGGCTGCGCCTGTACCGCGTCGAGCCGCTGCCGGCCCCGCGCGACGCGCTCGACGGTGCCCCCAAAGGCCACGTGCTGCACCTCCTCGCGTCGTTCCCCGTGGCCGGCGTCGCCGAGAGCGTCCACGTGCTCCGGTTCGACCGCGCGCTGCTGAAGAAGAAGCACCGGTTCGTCGGTGGCGACGACGTGCTGCTGCTCACGTTCCCCCCCTTCAAGTGGGTGCTCGTGGGCTACGACCGGCGGCTGCGGACCCTCGCAACGCTCGCAATGTTTGCGTTCGAAGCAGACGCGATTGGCCCGGGCGCGACGCTCAAGGGCGAGAAACACGGACGCGACCAGCTGCTGGGACTCGGCACGCGCGCCACGGCGCGCGTGGACCCGCAAGCGCGCTGCGGCGCCATGCTCGTGTACTCGGACCAGCTGGTGATCGTGCCGTTTCGCACCGAGTCCATGGAGCTCTCGTTTTTTGAAGAAGACGACGACGACGAGCAGCTGGACGAGCGTGCACAGGGGCGTGGCGCGGACGCAAAGATGGACTCGGACAATGACGACGACGACGACGACGACGAAGAGGAGCAGAAGCTGCAAGAGATTGTGAATGAAAGCCGGCAGCAAGGAGTGACGAGCGACATGAGCTCGACGCTGCAAGCGCTGCTGGACAAGAGCGTCAAAGTGGGCACGAAGCGCAAGCGCAAGCACTTGAGCGGCCTCATGCCGAACGAGATTACTGGACGGGAGTTTCTATTGCGTCTACGCGAGTTGGAAATCACGGGAAAAGTCATTGACCTCGCGTTTCTCGATGGGTACTTGGAACCGACGCTCATGGTGCTGCACGAAGAGAATGAGAGGAACTCGACGTATGGACGTCTGGCCGTCGGATTCGACACGTACTGCCTCACCGTGATGTCGATCAATATGAACACAAGGTACGCTTGGCGTGCTTCTATGCGTGTACAGCTTTGTTGATGATTGTGTTGGCTGACGTGATGTGTGCACTGTGTTAGACTGCACCCAAAGATCTGGACGGTGAAAAATCTTCCGTCGGACTGCTTCCGCTTGATTCCGTGTCGTGCACCGCTTGGTGGCGTGGTGGTCTTATCAGCGAATGCTTTCCTGTATTACAACCAAACACAGTTCCATGGCCTGGCCACGAATGTGTTTGCGAGCAAAACGGTGAACCAGTCGGTTTTTCCACTCTGCGACGCTGTGTACGAAACACCAGACCACGACACTGCACAGCTGAACATTGTACTCTATGATTGTCAGTACGAGTACTTGCGCGAAAAAGAACTGCTGCTAAATCTGCCGAATGGGGAAGTATATGTGCTGACGTTACCGTACGAAGAGACACAAAGCCGCGGTCTATACGGCTTTGGTAGCGTATCTTCTAGTCGGAAGGCGTCACTGTCGCTGCGAAAGCTCCAGTCTAACATCGTAGCGAGTTGTTTGTGTATCGACGAGGAGAAAAATACGTTGTTTGTGGGCTCAAGGTCTGGTGACTCGGTGCTATACTCTTTGGACAAAAAGAAGCTGGCCGATGCTGAAGGTGAAGGGCAAGAGCAGCAAGGAGACGAAGAAACACCGATGCAGGAAGACGGAGTACAAAAAAACGTGACGCCAGAGGATGAGCGTGAGGTAGCTGAAGAAGAGGAGGAAGATGACGACGACCTGTTCTTGTACGGAGCAGCTCCATCGAAGGAACCTCCAATAGCAGTAACGGACTCAACCGAGACCAGAAACGAAGCAAACGGACCTCACATGAAGAACGGGCCTAACAGTACTTCCACGATCCAAGACAGTGGTCCGTACGAGTATGAGCTCCGACAAGTTGATGTTCTGCCAGGTATCGGGCAGATCACCTCAATCGAGTTGGGTGTTGCAAGTAACGGAGACTCAAATGAAAAGCGGGAGGAGCTTGTGATAAGTGGTGGTTATGAGCGCAGTGGCAGTATCTCCGTGCTGCACAACGGTTTGCGGCCAATTGTTGGTACTGAGGCAGAGCTGAGCGGTTGTCGAGCAATGTGGACAGTATCGTCTTCTCTGCCTTCTGCAACTACTAGCCTTGACGGACGTAGCTATAGCGCATACCTCATCTTGAGCGTCGCTCATCGAACGATGGTGCTTCGAACAGGTGAAGGCATGGAGCCTCTAGAGGACGACAGTGGCTTTTACACCTCCGGCCCAACGCTCGCGGCGGCAAATTTGTTCGGCAAGCAGCGCATTGTTCAGATATTCAAGCAGGGCGCACGCGTGATGATGGAAGTGGCTGAAGAAGAAGGAGAGCCAACGGGCCAAGAAAAAGCTGCGAGTGATGGGGAAGATGAAGATGATGGCCCGAGTGTCAAGCTTGTATGCACGCAGGAGATCACCTTGGAAGGCGATATCGAATGTGGAGGGATGAATGTCGACACGTCTAGCGTAGGAATCGTGTCTGTGGATGTTGTTGACCCGTACATTCTTTTACTGTTGACCGACGGCTCAGTTCGGCTACTGGTGGGTGACGAAGAAGACATGGAGCTGACGGTGATTGATCCAGAGATCGATTATTTTGATGGTACGGACGCAAATGGAGCCGCAGATACGTCTAAGCATGGAAGCAGCTCCGCGTGTCTCTTTTACGATTGGGCTGGCATGTTCCGCGACGATGTGTGGAGCGAAAGCGATGGCGAAGAGAGGGACGTTTCGGCTGCAAGTGAAACGAAAAAAGAGAAGCGAGATGAAGAAGATGACATGGACGCGTTGTATAGTACCAAACTAAGCCCAAGAGTAACCACGGCTGACCGTACTAGCAAGGCGAATATGGTGCTGGGTCAAGGGTGGCAGTCGAACATTGACGGGTCCGTCTCGATACCGCTGCTGAAGCAGAAGGATGCGAAGATGATGTGTGGCATGTGCTTTGGTGATGGTTCTCTACGTGTTTTCTCCCTCCCGCATTTCGAGAAGAGGGGCGTGTTCCCGTACCTCACCTTTGCGCCACAGTCCTTAGTGAACACGCTAGGACGCTACCGAGACAGCGGTGACAAAACAACAAAGTTCACTGCTCCAGCTCTTGGTCTGAACGCGTCGACATCGATAGCAAACGATGGCCGTATCAAGAAGTCGCACACCATTCATTCACCGGTGGCTGACATCATCATTCACCGAGTTGGTCCAAGCGAAGGCCAGCACAATGCCCAGTACTTATCTCAAATGGTGATGCTCGTGTTTCTAGCGAACGGCGACTTGCTCACGTATGTCGCGATACCCAAATATGAGAGTATAAAGCGACAAGTCGACAATGAAGAAGCTGTCCCCGTGTATAGCTTCGTTCGCGCGGAAACCGATATCATCACGCGACCCTTCCTTCCTCCACGGTCTCGCACCAATGCTCACAACGATCCCGGTAATAACTCGGAGGTCAACGTTAGCTCAGTGCTAGCTAAACTTCGCGCTGGTTTCCGGTATCCTATGCTGACCAGCTTTGCAAATGTCAACAATATGAGTGGCGCCTTTTTTCGAGGAGCTCATCCGATGTGGATCTTGGGTGACCGCGGCCAACCAACATTCGTCCCGATGTGTGTTGCTGGATCGACGCCCCCGATTCCACGCGCAAATGGTGCAAACAAGAATCCGGCGCCTCGAGTAAGCGTGCCAGTTTTGAGCATTACTCCATTTCACCATTGGAATTGCCCCAATGGGTTCATTTACTTTCATTCACGTGGTGCGTTGCGCGTATGTGAACTCCCCTCGAGTAAGACGTCAACAATTCTTCCATCGAGCGGTGGGTTTGTGCTACAAAAGGCAGAGTTTGGGGTCACCTTGCATCACATGTTGTACCTGGGCAACCATGGTCCCGGGGGTGTCGCAGAGGCTCTAATGACGCCCACATACGCCGTTGTCTGCAGTACGAAAAGGAAGCCGGCCGATGCAAAGCTCGCAACGGAAGTTTTCGAAGGTGCAGAGGAAGAGCAAGAGCCTGAAAATCTGGATGCAAATGGAAATCCTGTCGCAAGCAACGTGATGGCACCAACAGCAGAGATGTTTCCTGATTATGAGATCGACGGGATGCCGCATACGGAGGAGGATGTGTACGAGCTTCGTTTGGTCCAGACGAACGAGTTTGGTGAATGGGGACGCAGTGGAGTGTTCCGTGTGTACTTCGAGCGGTATGAGGTTGTGCTGAGCGTAACGCTTATGTACCTGTATGACTCGTCGTTGATGAAAGAAGAATTGTCTTCGACATCACTCGAATGGAACAAGAGAAAGCGACCGTACATCGTGATTGGCACGGGCTGGGTTGGCCCGCACGGTGAAGACGAAAGTGGGCGCGGTCGGTTGCTACTTTATGAGCTGGATTACGCTCAGTACGTCAATGAAGAAGGCGGTACTACGAGTAGAAAGCTACCAAAGTTGCGGCTCGTGTTCATAAAGGAACACCGGCAGGGAGCAATCTCAATGGTGACGCAGCTTGGACCGTATGTGTTGGCTGCCGTTGGGTCAAAACTTATCGTGTACGAGTTCAAGTCGGAGCAACTTGTGGGCTGTGCGTTCTACGACGCACAAATGTTTATCGTGACGCTCAATGTCGTGAAGGACTTCATAATGTATGGTGATGTCTACAAGAGCGTGCATTTCTTGCGGTGGAGGGAGGACCAACGCCAGCTGATGCTACTGGCGAAGGACTATGAGCCGCTGGCTATTTCTGCTACCGAATTTAGCATATTTGAGAAGAAATTAGCGCTACTGGCGGTGGACATGGACGACAATTTGCACGTTATGCAGTTTGCTCCCCGAGATATTGAGTCCCGTGGTGGCCAGCGACTTTTACGTGTCAGTGACTTCCACTTGGGCGTGCAGGTTGCAAGCATGTTCCGCAAACGGGTCGATGGCACCAGCGCCGTTGTGCCTGCTACGAGAGGTCGAACGGCCGCACCGCCTTCCTGCTACGTCAATATCATGGGTACCTCAGAGGGTGGAGTCGGTGCGTTGGTTCCTGTAAGTGAACGAGCCTTCCGCCGTCTCTTTACGCTGCAGAACGTGATGGTCAACACGCTGCCGCAAAACTGTGCATTGAACCCACGCGAGTTTCGCATGCTCAAGACCAACACGCAGCGACGATGTGGAAGACCCGATGCATGGAGCAAGCGAAAGTGGAAGAAGAGCTTTTTGGACGCATTCGTGCTATTTCGTTTCTTAGCGCTCGACTACGTGGCCCAAAAGGAGCTGGCTCGGTGCATTGGCACCACACCCGAGGATGTCATACACAACTTGCTCGAAGTGCAGCAGGCGACAGCGACTTTTTTGTAAGTGTCTGTCTCAGTACCGATGAGAGTTCTTGCTATTCGCTCTAGTGAAAAGGCGTGGATTCCAAACAGGTCAGTTGCTCGAATAGGTGCAGAAATTGCGAGCAATCGTGGATGAAAGCAGACAGCGAGAGCGACGAGTGATATGAGCCCTACGAACGGAGGCCGTGCTGTTATACCGTTTGCGCAGCCAGTTGTCGAGTACCGCTTGAGCGCGATGGACGGCTCGATCACGACTTGAGCTTTGTGTCTTTCGTGCAGTTTCGTAAGCACGAGAAGGCAGAGCAAGTGAGTTACCCATGGCGCGCCGAACTGGTGACTAAGATTGGTAGCGTCGAACGGCCTCTCAAGCAATGACGTGCGCTGCTCGAGTTGCTACAACACAACGGGGCCCGCAGGTGAAGCAGCAGCAGAGAGTGCATTTTCCACGCTACGCTCGGGTGTTTCGGCAATCGATGCGACGGATTCGAAGAAAAGATCGTGGACGAGCAGGATACCGATTGCATTCGTACGGCCATCATGGTCGACAATCGTGCTACTGGTCCACGGGCCATGGGCGTAGTCATGAGTGTCTCGTGAGTGAATGCTCCAAGCGCTAGCAGAAGAGCGCGATGACATCATGCGGACGATCTGCAGACCGACGCACTCTTTGGGAACATGCACCTGTGTGGTGGTGTACGATTCTACGCTTGTGCGTCAGGCATTCCCATGAGCTGCATGAAGGTTGACGATACCTTGTGTGCGACACGACAGCCTGAACGCTGGCAACACGACCGGTATCGAGCATGCACTACGGTACGAGTGTGGCATCCAACGTAATCAGATTGTATCATGTTTTCCAGCATTGCTCCATCGATGCGGTCATGCAAGCGATGCGACTATTGTGTTCAAGTCGGCTTACCGGTTGTCCATGTCAATGTCAGTGTCTTTGGATTTCCTTACATGCACCTCGATCGCCTGCTAGCGCCAGGTAGTGCTGAAGTTGCCTGTCCGCGTATCTCTCCTTTCTGCTGTCGTCGTGGCCAGAGTGATGATGAATGCAGTCCCGGGACACGACGTAAGCCGAGTACGGCGTCAGCGCAAAACTAACTTTGCTCCGAGAGCACAGGCCTGTGAATGCAGCATCAAGCGACTCGGGTCAATACTCAGCCTCATTCCAGATACACACACAACACACAAATGCAAGAGGTTACCGTTTTGACTTCGCCATTGACTCCAATATATCAAACACGTGAGCGACTCGCAGATCGTTTATCTCCATCTTCATTTCTTCTGCTACAGCACGTTTCATTCTCTTCTCTCCGAAAACTTGCGTCAGGGTCCAGAGATACAAGAAGTCACCATGCTCTCCAACATGATGGCAGTATTCCCGCAGAATGTCGTTGAACGGGTTGCGGTCGTCGCGAAACGAAAGTCTGAAGGACGTTTTCCGTCGTAGTTTTCTCACCAGCTCGACAGTATCTTTCCCTTCGTCGCTCCACTTTGCCATCAGCTCAGAGAAGAACACCTGTCCAAACTTTTTCTGCTTCGCGTCCGTTGACGCTCGCAGACGGAGGAGGAAAACTGCCAGTTTGGTCTCGCCGTACGGCGAAAGAAGGTTTATGAGCAGTCGCTTGTTGTTAGGCTGGAACGCAGCTCCCAGCTGAATCATTTCGGGACTCTGCAGTGCCGAATAGCGCATCCCAAACCGTAGATGGCTGGCCTTGAACGCTGCGAAAGCGTTTCTGAGGTCATGACTGGCCCCTGCCAGCATCTTCGCATGGACGGTCAGGCGCACCTTGAACAGTTTGAGTAGCCACCCTTGAAGTGGCAATCGCTCTTCGGCATCCGGGGAGCCTTGAGGTCTCAACGAACTGGTGAGCGGGACGCTGGGATGATTGTCCACCGAAAAGGGAACGGCGGCCGGGTCGTCGACTACCGTCGTGTTCGGACTCGCGGCCATCAAAGTGTCGTCGGCGTAGGAGGACACGGTAACGCCTATAGCTGCGAATACAATGGAGTAGACACGCATTGCGAAAGGAGACTTGGCGTGAAGCAATGAAATGCGAAATGGGGACTGAGCGCTAGCGATGAGCACTGACTGGTTCACTTGTCGCAGCCGCCTTCAGTAGGATAACCGCGGGACCGACACCCGCTTTTTCGCACGGGGTCGTGTATGGCGGTGCCTTCCAGTCCTACCGAACCACAACATCAGTGAGTGGGATTCGGTTGCCGCCTGGTTTTCCAGCGCACGTGATCCACCGAGTCGACACTTGCGTAGAGCCGTGTGCGCTCGAACCGCTACGATCCGATCAGAACCATTTCGTCGTGAACGTTCTTTCGCGTCAGAGGCGATCCTTTCGACTTGCGCACCTCTAACGAGCGAGAGGCAGCTGACTGGCTGCACCGGCTTCAGCAGGGACTCGTCTTTCTCGCCCACCCGGCTCTCCATCGGCTGCCTTAAAGCGTGCCGGATCGAGTGAAAAAACCATCACCGGGTGTCGACCTCGTTCTTACGCCAGGCTTTTCACTACCATAAACGTCAGCTTCGCCCTGCGCTGCAGCACTGGCTAAACCGCTTTGAACACCAGACTCGGTCGGAGCGGTGGCTTGCAGCGGTCGCGGATCGAAGGCCCGCTCAAATTTGGCGCCACGCGGACAGTCTTACGGAGTACCAAGTGTGGACGGGTTACCGGATCGCAACCACTCGGCTCAATGTATATCCCGCCGGACGCTCCGATGATCCCAGTTGCCGGAAACTCGAGCCCTGCAAGCGGCGCAAGGAGACTGTCCCTCATATGTGTTGGGATCGTTCAACTGCGATAGTCTGCTGGAGCCTATTGCGCCGTCATTGGTCTCGGGAGGGAGTTCAGGAATCCGCAGCGACGGTCATTTTCGGTATTCCGCTTATCGAAGGGCGCCTCCGCTTCCACCGCGTTTGCTGCAGCTCTTAATCGATCGTTTTGGGGATGATCACACGGCAGCGATAGACGAATGCCGTCGGATCTGGTTCGTGGTGTGCTCCTTGTGTCAGGTGCATCTTCAAGTGGAGCGCAATGCGGTAATCTTTCGAGGGGAGACCACTTCTCCGGCTCAAAATGTGTCCTAGCATTCTGGCGGGGCGGTCTGCGGCAGTTGAAGGCAATTGCTATGCGAGAACATCGGTCCGCAGCTACAGCGGTCAGAGGAGCGCGTCTTCATGCCTGCCTAGACATTCGCAGCCAAGTTCCTACAGGCCGCCAGGCTTCACTGGCTATCAGCCACGATGAGCTAACCGATCCGGCGCTCGTGTCCTGGTTCAGGACTTTTCAGACATCTTGCACATCTTCTCAACATGTAAACAGACGATCATGAAACTCCTCCTCCACGTTCTTTCGCGTCAGAGACTGTTGCAAGTCCGAGCTCTTTTGCTGTGTCATGTCCATCGAAAGACGACAGCATCTGGTCCAGATTGCGACATAACGCGTGCAAGGTGAGCCCGACTCAGAAGCCGGTGAGGTCGCACAGAAAAGGTCGGTGGGCTCGATGTGCAGGCTCGCTCGGTGGTCGAAAGCACGTACAACCGAGAAGCTCAGTGATGCGAGACGGCCGGGTGGTCTATTCACTAGCGTCGTCAGCCCCGATCGACTAGACGAGAGGGTGCACGTGTGTCGCTTTCGCGACCTTGAGAACGAAAGCGCTTGAGCGATCCGACTTGCATATGACAATGATTCGTAAGTGGTAAGCGGGAGCTTGCGCCTCGTTTTGCAATGTGTTGTAGAAAACACCGACTGCCGTCTGAAGGCGCCGAACGACTCTGTCGACTGGCAATGACGGGATGAAAAGCGTATCGACCGACCCTCGAGCATGGCTGCGATTCGAGTCCACTCGCATGTTTGCCACCCACCACTTCCTAGCCCTTTTTTCTACTTGGCACGCCTTTGCTTAGCAGATTGGACCAGTCTGCACCGAGGCACGAACTAGTTGCTGCTTTTCTACGTCTGCCTTCACATTGCCGTCCTGTTCCTAAGCGCGGGGTCCGGACCCACGAAGGGAACTTGCTCAGGACGTGCCAGCATCGAAGACAGATATGTAGGGTCGGTCCAGCTGGCCAGTTTGGGATCGCTGATGGGCATCCTGCCCCTTTGCCAAGGCGCATCACGCCCCCTGCATGTCGCACATATGCCACTTGCGGATCAGTTTGAGTCGCAGAACGGGATCCGCAGTGGCTTCGCATGTGCAGGTGAAACGGCACGCTTTCCTCGACTGACACTCGACTTACTGGTTGACTTCACCGATCGCTTTCCTGTTACGAGGGGTATCTCCACAGCTGATGAACAACTGCATACAAGTCGCTACAATCCTACACACGAGTGCTCACACGAAACGAGGACGTGCATCGATTTCCACGCAACGCCAGCTGCTATCCCTTATTCCTATGGTCGTACTACATCTCATTTGACGTCCTACTCACGAGATCCGGCCACGTATTATAAGCTGGGTGCGCTAGAGAAGCAAGCGTTGACACCCCGTGATCACTGCTTACATTGATTCGACCCGGCTGCGATCGTGCTGTGACCCCATTGAAGTGGACACAATGTCAATTACACTGCGGCTGGAGAACTATAGCTATGCAAATTGCTCATGCGAGTGAGCGTTGCACAATTGCTACTAGACAGACCTCAGAATCTTTACCTCTTGTTGTGCCCCGTTATGACAAGACAGACACGACCTGGCAACGCTGTGGGTATGTTATCGACCGAAACATCGCAAGTGATGATCCTGCGAGCTGTCGGTTCCCGTGCCTCAGTTTGTGTCTCGAAATCGAAACAGCTGGCGCCACGTAATGTCATGAATCCGAAATGGCGCAGACCTGCGCGTCCTGCGATGGACTGGAGATGATGGCTTTCGGTCGCAGATGTAGAAGACGAAAAGAGCTGAGCGCTTCCGAGATCTCGTTTGCACTTTTACTCTTCTTTTTGTTTATGTGTCCAAACGTGTTTTTGTCGAAATTCGAGAAAGCTTTAAACTGATTCAGTTGATTCGACCAGTTAGTTCAAGCTGAGCCTGGATCAAAACGGTTTTACCTCGCCAACTCGAATCAACGATCCGACATCTGCAACTGCGTATGATTCACAGCACGTCCGTGTGCTTACCACTTCCTCTTTAGAAAACATCGATAGATGTCGCATAGTACATTCGACAAGAAGCTCTGCGAGGAATCGAGATACATGATTAGGATTCAAGTCACGATGCCGCTGCCGGCTTTAGTACGTACGATCCACTCACGTGCCTGTTCGGTGTGTCTTTGCTAAGTGCAGCCATTGATCAGACAACTGCCAGACATCACAGTTTGTAGACAACAACTACTCTAGACGGTCTGACACGGAAACCTTACGACGGAGAAAAGATCAATGTCGCAGCTATACCTTCCTGCATACAACAACACTCCGCATCGCTTCATTACATTCTGTAAACGCTCCTGTACCTTCACACGAACACCAATCGTTGTCACCAATGCAGTCAAACGCCCGAGTCATAGAACGCACAATAATTTCGCCAGTTTCATATCTGCAAAGTGGAGAGATTGACCCGACTCGAACCAAAGAAAGCCGTGTGTTGCTCCATCGCTTACAAAAATTTGAAGCCTTTGAGACGTGCTTCAGCAATATAGTGAGGATTCATATCCAGCAGCCAAGGAAATGGTACCATCTCACAGCGCACGAGGGAGAGTACGTATAGGTCGGACCGGCAAAAGGAGCTGGTGGAGTTTGCTGTCTCAAGCAGTTCCACTGATTCCTGTGCCCACGCCATACCTTTTGCTTCTGCCTTTTGTTCCGGTACATAGCAGACGTGCTCGTTTCATCGACAAGATCTTGGCTACCACTGATCTCGGAGCTACCGCAGCAGCTATCAAAGACAGTATCCAACCCTGTTCGCTCTGCGGTAGCCCCGAAATCACTGGTAGCCAAGATGTCTCGCAAATCGCTCCTTCTGCCTGCTGCGATCCCGGAAAGCTCTCTAGTATCCGAAATCTTGGATACGAACGACATTGTACGTAGTCTGTCGAATACAGTTGTCAAGAGAAGCTGTTCGGATACTGCTGCGACAGCACGGTTGAGCTACTCTTGACGTTGATCAACAAAGACGTCTACCTGTTTACTTGCTTCGACTGCTTGCACAACGACGGTGTCACGTTCTCGTTCGACAAGGGCACGGCCAATGCACGAGTGTCATTGACACCTCGCAGCAAGTAAAGAGATATCGCATCAAAGTGAAAGGTCACGACTTAGGCTTGAGCTACAAACACCACAAGTCAAGACCCGCTTCGTCAAAGTGTACACGTTGAGCTTTTGAAGCCGTACGTTTGACAACGTCCGCCATGAACTCTGATCAGACAGTTCGAGCACTATCTGCCACTGTTTGGCAGCGTGCCGATTATTCACAGGGTATCGACAGCATCACAGTTTGTGATCAGGTTCATAGCCACATCAAATAGGCGACACGAAGCGAATGGAAGGGTTTGCTTCCTGTGATTAGTTCTTGCGCTGACAAGGCCTTCGCTAGCTTGCAAGCGGGTCACTAAGGCTTGGGATAGTCCGATACGGAGCGGTACACGGAGCTTCTGATGCTCAACGACTTGACACTCACAGTACTTTGTGATGCTTTGTTTCTGACGATCGAGACCACTGTGAGGGAAACTGATGCGACGGATGTCGATGAAGTAGGGAGAGGTATGATTGAAAATGGCGTACATCATTCACGGGGGCGGCGTGTGATACCAGTGCATGTTTTCATATGGCTACCAGCACTTGCAGCAGGCGCTCTTGTTTGTATCTTGACTTCGAGCACTTTCGAGTGCCTCTTGCTCCTGGTACCTTTGTGCACGTACCAGTGTTGTTTGCCATTTGCCGAAAGTTTTGATGTAGTATCTGTCACGTACGAGGCCGACCTCATGTTCGTACGAAGTAGTCATTAGACGCGTCAGCAGTCATGACCCGCGACATTGGAATGACTCGAGTCGATGAAGATGTCGTCTGACAATAGCGCACTTTGTCATGCCAGATAAGTGAAGCGTGCAAGTCGCAAAAAAGTCAAGCTCATCATCCGGCAGAGAACAAGTAACATGACGTTGCAAGAGCTGGTGTTCCATGCTCCTATCGGGGCATGCGGAAATGGACTCACATGAATGCGAAGCACGGCTGGCGACAGAGCAGGACAGTGATACTGCGTCCTAGAAATGAAATGTCCTATCCATGTCAGATACTGTCCATCTTGCGAGTCAGACTGAAGTATCCAACCTATTTGGGCGCAGTCTGCTCCGCTGCAAAGTGAACAAATGCATGAGCGGTAAACAAAAGAGCAGTAGTGAGTGATCCGACTCGGTTGGGGTAATGATTACAAACGTGCTTCTAGAGCATAGCCAACGCCTTAAAACGATCGTGATGGCTCATGGTGACGTGAATGACTGGCGGATCAGAAGAAGTGCGGACGGGTCTTGGCACGCGTTTCTGTGTCCAGGTGACACGTGCGAGCTCGGAGACGTGATACGTTGGCATGACCGTTTGTTTTGGCAACGTTTGCAAGTGTGCAGCTGCCCCCTGATCACTTAGTTGACGCTGCGCTTCACGAGCTTTGCGTAGATGCCGTCTTGCCTGACCAATTCTTGATGCGTACCTTGCTCGGCGATCTTGCCACCGCTTACCACGCAAATCTTGTCAGCGTTGCGGATAGTGGACAGCCGATGCGCGATGATAATCGTCGTGCGCCGCTTCGACGCCACCACCTTGTCTAACGCGTTTTGCACTATCTTTTCGCTCTCCGAGTCCAGCGCACTAGTCGCCTCGTCGAGCAACAAGATGTTCGGGTTCTTCAAAATGGCGCGTGAAATAGCGATGCGTTGCTTCTGGCCACCCGACAACTGCTCACCTTTCATGCCCACTTGCGTGTCGTAACCGTCCGGGAACTGCGTGACGAAGCCGTGCGCGTTAGCCATCTTGGCAGCTTCTTCGATTTCCTGTCGCGTGGGTTTGTTCGTGAGTCCGTATGCGATGTTTTCGGCAATGGTTCCGATAAATAGCGTGGGTTCCTGACCGACCAGGCCGATCTGACTACGCAACCACTTGAGATTCAGCTCTTTCGTGTCAACACCGTCGAGCAACACTTGGCCGCTGGTCGGATCGTAGAACCTCTCAAGGAGCGAAATGCCAGTGCTCTTGCCTCCACCACTTGGACCACAGAAAGCAACTGTCTGTCCAGCCTCAATCGTGACACTGTAGTTTCGTAGCACTGTGACGTCGGGTCTCGTAGGATATCGGAACAGAATGTTCTTGAACTCGATTTTGCCTTCGAGACGGTCCAGGCGTCGCCCGCCTTCTTGGAACGAATCGATTGGCGGTTGGCGGTCTCGAAGATCGGTGATCACTTTACCAGCTTTGACTGCTTTTTCAAAGTCTCCCATGAAAGAAGCAGAGTTCCCGATCCCCTGGGCAGACATTATGATGGCCATGAGCGTTCGCATGAGCTGTTTAAAACTGATGTCACCAGAATCGACCAATTTACCACCGTACCAAAACACAAGCGAGTACGTGGAGAAAAGGATGAAGGAGCCAAACCCCAGCGCAAGCCCATTCACCTGAGCTTCGCGACGCCCGCTTGCTAATGGCTGTTGGAGGGATGCCGAAAACTTTGCACAAAGAGATTTCTCCAACCCGAGCGAGACAACCGTGCGGATGTTACTAAGAGCCTCGGAAGCATAAGCGCCGACTTCCGCAAGCTCGTCCGACATGTGGCCAGATGAGGTCAATTGACGCATCCGAGCAACTTGGCCGAATACCAAGAGCGGAAATACGGATAACATCACGAAAGTCAGCAGCCAGCTTCCAGTCGTGAATGAAATCAGCAGGGCAGCCACGAATGTGCAGAATGCTTGGACGACGCGGCCTTGGGATTCGCCCGAGATCAAAGCAACCTTCATCGCATTCGTCGATAAGTCTGCGGTCAACGCGCCTTTTGCATTCTCCTTCTCGTCGAAAAATCCAATATTCTGGCGACAAAGTGCGGTAAAGTGGATGTCACGCAGGCGAGAGGTAAGCTTTTCTGCCATGTACTTGAAACAGTAATTCTGTGCACCAGAAGCGAGGAACATCACGAAACCTCCGCCGACGTAGCACAGTCCATACACCGTTACATCGTGGCTAAGGTCGTCGAGAGCAGACCTGACGTTGGAGGTCTTGTAGAGCGCGTAGTTTGCTGTTAAGGAAGAAATCAATCCACTGATGAGAACAGCAGAAGCCGGTAGCGAGCAACCGACTATCGCAGCAGCTATAGTGCCCACGATAAATAATGGTTTCTCCGACCGAGACAGGGCCATGATGTCGAAAATAGTAAACTCCTTCTTCGAGGTCTCTTCCTCGTCCGGACTCTCCATCTCCTTCCGTCCATGGATCGAGCTGTTCACTGAGCGACCACTGTGGCTCCGCGAACTTCCAAGGTGAGGCTCTGTACTCTCAACTTCAGACAATGTAGTGACTGCAACTCGAGCCTCTTCTTGCGCTCGTTCCTCCTGGATCAAGTATAGTTTTCGATACGTGCCATCCTTGATCGCTACCAACTCGTCGTGGGGACCTTCTTCCACTACTTGACCACCATCTACCACCACAATCTTATCTGCCCGTCGAATCGTACTCAATCGGTGAGCAATGACCAGCGTCGTCATGCGGGTCTTGTCGATCAGATCGTTCAACGCAGCCTGCACGACTTGTTCACTCCCAGCATCCAAAGCGCTTGTAGCTTCGTCCAGGACCAGTATTTTGGGCTCGCGTACGATGGCTCGAGCAATGGCGATGCGCTGCTTCTGACCGCCTGACAGCGTCACACCCTTCTCACCGACAAGCGTATCGTACTGCTCTGGCAGGTCCATGATGAATGTGTGAGCATTCGCCAATTTAGCGGCTGCTATCACTTCGTCCAGTGTGCAATGTTCTCTTCCTGCTGCAATGTTCTCAAGTATCGTGCTGGCAAACAGCACAGGTTCTTGCGACACAAGTCCAATCTGCGCCCGCAACCACTTGACACTCAGCGTTTTCACATCACGGCCGTCGAGTAAAAGCGTGCCTTCGTTTGGATCGTAAAAGCGCTCGAGCAGTGCAATGAGCGTGCTCTTGCCGCTGCCACTCGGACCAACGAATGCAACCGTCTGACCAGCCTCGATCGTAACGTTGTAGTTGTTCAGAATCCGTACATCCGGTCGACTCGGGTACGCGAACTGCACGCCCACAGCTTCAATACGTCCGCGACACATCTCGGCGGGCACATCGCCCGCTTCCTCTGTCTTGGAAGCATCAATCAACGACGGCGTGTCCAGGATCGCATACAGCTGCACGGCCGCGCCTCTTGCTTCTGCAATGGCCGAGACATTGGGCATGATCTGACCCATGGAAATCGTGCCCATGAGCACGGCAAAGAACGCTTGGAACACCTCCCCCGGCGTCGCGTCATCGTCCACGACTTTTGAGCCGCCGTACCACAGCCCCGCGGCGTACATGAACCAGATACTGCCGACAAAGAGGCCATAGACCCAGGCCGTGAAGCGCGCCATGTGGATGTTCGACTGCTCGGCTTCGGCCGTGCAGTCCTTGTACTTGGCGAGCGCCAGGGGCTCGGCCGTGAGCGACGCGACGGTCCGGATCGACCCCAGCGTCTCTTCGGCCACGGCCCCGGCTTCGGCGTACAGCTGCTGCGACTGCGTGGCCCGCAGGCGGAGACTCGTGACCAGCGCGCTGAGCGACAACACCATCACGGGCATGACACAGGCCATGACGAGCGTGAGGTCCCAGACGCGGAGCAGCCCCAGCCCGTAGCCCGAGCAGAACTGGCACACGTACTTGACGGCCTCGCCGAGCTTCGACCCCATGCCGTCTTTCACTTTGACCGTATCGCCCGTCAAGTGGCTCGCGAGCGTCAGCGGATCGCGCGCGTCGTACCACGTGAGGTCCAAGTGCAGCAGGTGCGCGAACGCCGCGTCGCGCAGCTCGAGGACCTGTCGCTCGGCCGACGCCGTGAACGCCACGTACGCGACGTAGTCCGTCGCGAACAGCGCGAGCGCAATGTAGAGGTACCAGAGCGCCGCTTCGTTGACGGCCGCGAGGTCGACGGTGCCATTAGAGTGGCCAAAGGCGTCGATCGCGTGGCCAAAGACGATCGCCATGAACGGATAGAGCGCGCCATTCACGGCGGCCATGAGGACCGCGAGCGCCAGGAGGACGTGGTCGCGGCGCGTGCCGTATCGATAGAGCGCCCTAAACGGTACCGACGACGACACCGGTTTTGCCGCGGCTACCGCGTGGACGTCGCGGGGTTTGCCAGGGCTGGCGGTTACCGCGCGACTGGCGGTTACCGCGCAACTGGACGCGGACCCCGCCCGTGTTCGTGGCGTCTCGACGCGGACATAGTCACTGTGGACACGAGTGGGTACGTCCGTGTTTTGCAATGTTTGCGAGGGTCGATGGCCCATGAAGTTTGGTTGTGGTGGTGGTAAGTGGTAAGTGGGTTGTTTGATTGTTGGCCACGGGAGGGCGTGCGTGCGTGCGTGCAGTCGACTGAAGGACCGACGAAACGAAAATGGAAGTCCGACGGTGATAGCTCCTTGTCTCTCGAAGACGAGACATGAGCTGTAGCGTGACTATTCAACGGACCTGGGACTCGACCAGCGACTTGAGAAGAAGCCACCATGGGTTGCTAGCTACATGCGATCGACTCCCGCGTGGACGAAGAGCGGCCAGGTGACGGCCTCGGTCGCCCATTGTTTTGTCGTCGTGTGTGTGCGTGTTGCAGCACGGCCGATTTGCATAAAAAAGCTCGGACCCGCAGGCTGCTCCTGTCCGAACGCGAGCGAGACTGTCAATAGGGCTCTCCCTCCTCTCCGTTCAGCACGTTCATAGCGCAGAGCGTAGAATCGCACCAGCGTCTGCGAAACCCTCACGGTCTTACCACAGCGCTGCAATCTCGGGCCACTTCTTTCCTTAGCGCATGCATCGCTCAGCACCTTTTTTCTTCTTCTTCTTCTTCTTCTTCTTCCAGTGTACTACTACTGCGTATCTTTCGTGACAGAGCGGGCGGACTGGCGCGAGGAAAGCAATACCTAACCGTGTGGTGGCGACTACCAACGGTTCACTATGATCTCTACCTATCGCCTGTGAGGCAGCGGCTTTTCGCCGGCTGTCGCCCATTCGTCCAATATTCGGATTTGTAAGCGATTGCGTAATGGCTCCAAATGGTTTCGAGAAGTATACTTTTGTTGAATACTAAACAAAAAGAACACGACGACGACATCGACGACGGCGAAGAGGCGACGACTATGTCCTCTTCTTTGCGCACGTGACGCGGTCGGTGCGGATCGGATGTTTTCTACATAGTTTCTTCCGATTCTGATGCGCTGAGTCACGAGTAAAGGCCTGTGAGGTTTATTGTGTGTGTGTGTGTGTGTCCCCATCGACTCGGGCGATGCGATCTCTCGCAACAATAGCTGATCTTTTTTGCAGTGAGGTAGCACGAACGCAGTCGCCGGTACTTCATACGTCAGTGCGCTGTGTCCACTGTCGAAAAGCGCGACAACGAGACTGTTGCTGCGCCAGCGTCGTGCGACTTTTCGCCTGGTCAGACTCCCGCTCTCTCTCTCTCTCTCGATCCCGACGTATTCGTCGCCTCGTTGGAAAAAGAATAGGCCGGGCCCGTCACGACGACAAGGCGCTGCTGGCTTCTGACAATCGAAGCTCTGCTCGTCGTCTAGTGTCGCTTGCTGCAGCAATCCTATGGGCCGCCGAACTAGCTACTCTTTCATCGACCTTCGTTTCTCGCTGCCTCTAGTGCGCTGCTGTGGCTAGAACGAGACAAAAGAAACGACTGCTAGACACGATAGTGAGGTGGCAGCTCTTGTGCTCGTTGATCTCGGGTCAAGAGGTTGGTGAACTGGAAGAGCAATGCTCGGACTCGTCGATCGTAGCGCTTGAGGATGACTGCATGACGCACCATCGGTCGATGTGGCCTCTATTTTGCAACGATCGATTGTGGTCAGCGGGTCTTTGCGTGCACCACGCAAGGAGTTGGCTGTACACTCGTGTTGGCAGTCTACATGCATATCGTTGTAGCCCCCACGGACGTGCACACACTTTGGCGCAACCGTATTGAGCTCGATTGGTGTCAAAGTAGTTGAGCGCTTTTACAGCAAGGACGGAGCGGGTGTGTCCACGTAGATCGATGATTAGTTGACCTGCCCTCCTCTTCAAGCGCTCGTTCCAACGCATGGTCTTCGAACATGTTTCTAGGATGCGCGACCACCTCTGCTGAGCGGCAACCATCAAGTTTGCAAACGATCCACATGCATGGACCCGCCAAGAGCTCTGAGGTTGTCGCGGTGCTTACAGTTGCCGTCAGGCAATGGCGTACAATCAGGAAAAAAACTGATGACACGATACCGACGAAACAGAGCCGAGGAATACCAAAGTACGAGCGCGGCAATGCAGGGCACACGTATCGATTTGGGATGACGAATCCAGATACGACAGCAACACGTGTGTAAGATTCGACACACGCTACGCCATCATATCGTACCTGACTGGTGTTGAAGAAGCCGGGAGTTTGATAGCACAATCCTCTCGAGTGTGCGGAACGCGAGCACATGTGTATGTCCACCATCTGTGAAGATCGCGAAGCCATCGTCGCCGGTACCTCATGCATTTGCACGAAAGTGTCAGGTGTTGATCTGTTGCCGTCGTTTCGGTATCACTCACTCAGCCTTCCTGGTCACCACAGTGGTCACGCCAGGCATGCGCTAAGAGCACGATACCTTCTGCGCAAGTCCCACGTCGCCACGGATCGCGAGCAGCTGGGGCACCCACAAAGAGCCTCAACGATCTTCCGCGTTCGTGAACAACTCTTTCTTTCCTCGGAGAAAGCAGAGCTAGTTCCTCACGCGTTACATCGTTCGAGAACCTTCGGAGTTTATCAGGCCGAGGTACGTTGGATCCAAGATAGCGACCGGGAAGTTGTCGCACATGAAATTGGAGTCTCTTGCGGATCTGTTCAATATATAGACACCTTCTCGGCGACACGAGTGGGACCAGTCTCGAGGACGTAGTGGTGGTCTTCAGATCAGTTGTCTTCCCCCATTGACCTTCACCGCCATAGCAAGGCGTTGCCTCGCGAGGCGGAGGAAAAGCAGCTGCACAAGCAGCTGCACAATGTAAAAAACAGTTCTTGTGCGCGCTCGCGACTACTACAGAAGCTGCCGTCATGAAGTGTGACCGATCTGTTCGTGACGCCTCAACAAGCGGGTGGCGTCGGTCGCGCAGCTGTGTCAGCAACGATCGAGACGACAGACAGAGCGGGTGAGATTCCGGCTGACCTGAGTCCCAAGTAAGGTTGTTCCAGCCTCGCGCGCCTGGACACATCGCGGTAGCAAAGAGGCGACTGCTACTACTGGAACTTCAGGTTCAGCTCTCCAGCGGGCGCCACCCTCACACCCTCAGCGTTGACGCTTACCGGGTCAGGAAGAAAAAGGCAGATGCCTGGAAATTGGTTTGAAAACCAACGGGTCAACCCAACAAGCCACCACATAGGTCAGAGATCACTCGGCAACTCTACTGGACAAGAGTCTTGCATGTAGCAGGAGGTGGAAGGAGTGAATGCTGTCGCACTATAACGCTGCCCGACACGACAGGCAGATATCGATGGCATACCGGCAGCAATGAACGGTTCGGGTCCACCTCCATGTGGAGCGCGAACTCACGGATACGCGGTCGGGCGTCGAGGTGTATAGCGGGAGCAAGTACAGCAGGATCGTGGACTGCAACTTTATAGTACTTGGGATCTCAATTAGCACAATGCTTGAAAATAGGGACGAGAGTAGCTGTCGCAGCAAGGCATCTGTGTGACGTGGTTGCATAGAGATCATGGCCAAGTAAGTTCCTCTGACATGTGCGTACGCAGCAGTGCCACAATCTAGTTCCCAAGTCCTCCAGCGTTTGCATCCTGGCTTAGACTTTTTCCAAGATTCTGCATCTTGTCAAAAGGCGCTCTCAATCCATTCAACTCTTTTCACGAAATCTCTCGCGCGCTCTCTCTCTCTCTCTCTCTCTCGTCATTACCTTATTCAAAGCGTATTCGTTGACTTCTCACGCAATGATAAGCAGATCCAGTATCGCTCTCCGCATCGCACTTGTCGTCAACGACAACATGTTGCATAAAAGTTCAGGTGGTAACGAGCTGCCGGGTCTTCATCGCAGCAAAGATGTCGATCTATTCATTCGAGCTCTTATAATGAACAGGTGTGTAGTCGTGCACTCTGTGTCGTCTCGCACCAACTCACGTGAGTTAAGACGGTGGACTGCAGACAGCGCATGTATGAAGGCGCCCACTGGGATGTGACGTCAGCCATATTCAGGTTCCAGGGGCTGGTCCTGTCGCAACGTTTTGCTGATCCCGACCTATCAACACATCTATGTGTGTCGAGTGTGACCCGGCAAACGCAGCGCACGTGTTGAACTCGCTACACATACACATGTGATACTCGCCATACTCTTCCATGAGATTGCCGCGTTCAGATCCGGTGGCAGCATTCTCACAAAGCTCTTGCTCTGAGTCCGGACATCGACTTTTCCAGTGCGTTCCATTCTGCATGTGGCGTTCTTTATCGCGACTCGAAACTAGCACTTGACATTCAATTTGACAAGTCGCTAGGGTGCAGTTTGACTTGTCTTCCTTTACTTGACTGACAACAGCGTCCTCGGAGTTCGTAGTCTTGACCAAGCAGCTCATTCTACTGAGCAAGTGTACCGATACTGATGATGAAATCAGACTCATCGTCTCGATCTTCATTCGAAGCTCATGGAGTTTGGACGTGGCTTCGTACCTTCCAGAATATGCTACAATGTCTTCGGGTGGCCTCGTGCTTCGACGCACGTCGTACAATAGTTTGCTACGTTCAGCATTTTCACCGCCATTGTCGATGGGCCTCTGGTCGCATCTTCACCGACTCCACCTCCTGTTCGCTTTGCAGCAGTGACCACTAATGACGTACCGTAGATAGAATCCGAAGGAGGAAAGACGTTCACAAACTACGTCCAATTTCATGCAGCGTATCTCATTTTCTCGCACTCGCATCATGAGTCGCAGAGTCAAGACGTACGCTGCACGAAGGCGCATGTGCCCTTTGTGTCGACCGAACAGCTTTGTCACCTGCCTCACCGTTTCCCGTAATTTCTTTACAACATCCCCTGCGTACAGCACCATATCGTCATAGCGTTCCTCTTCCCAGCAATCTCTGCATCAACTGCTGAACTACGTCTTGTGCCGTCTCATACAGCTAGCGTTTGTGTCCTAAAGCCGCGGCCTCAGCCAACGATCCTGAGGTCTAAGTTTGCTCGTCGCTGTAGCTTGTGCAAAAGAGCCCCGAGTCACAATAGTTCCCATCTTTGGCAGTCTGAAGCCCATCGTGGCGAGCTTTGAGCGCGCCTTTTACTTTGTTGCAACGAATGCACTCTGGTCAGTCAAACTCGAGATCATGCAACCTGCTTTTGCAGCAGCCGGTTGTGGGACCATCGATCGATGAGAAACTACTCGCTCTCAAACGCGGATTTGGTGTGTTAGTGGGTTTCGGGAATCTGTGTTTGACAGATGACTGAAGCCCATCATAGTGTTGTCGGTATGCACCTGAAGTAGACTCTCGACGCGTGCAGACAGACCTTGCTCCCCTCGCTCGGTTGACACGATCTCCAGCTTTCTCCTGCTATCACGCTGCGCTCAACAATGTGTTGACGACCAAAGCGTTCACAAACGAGTTCCACCACTACCACCATTTTGTCCTTCTTTCGAGACTGTATGACTGATACACGCACTGCTGCTCGTCGCACGACGAACGAATCCAAATGAATCGAACTAATGCTGGCAGCCAAAGAAGTCATGACCAAGAGACCGCCGATGGAAACAGTGCGACTTCTGGTCTAGTTGACGCCGAGCTTTGCTAGAATAATACGTGTCAGGACTTCATATGGATAGTAGTAGTCTGCGGGACACGAAACAAGCTCATGTCGTAAGGCGATCATGGCATCAACTCAGCAGACGACTAGGCCCTAGACGGTCGGAAAAGAGCGAGGTTCTTCCTATCTCCTAGTGACTTTGTGAGACGTGTCGTAGTGCATTGTTGACCGCAACGTGACACGGCGTTTGCATTTGCCATCCGAAGAGGATTTGCCGCTGCAACGGTTGTCAAACTGTAATACGCGTCTGGTAAGCAGACAGCAATGGTCGCCGATGCAATGACTGATGCCACACGTTTTGTTATCGGTAATATAACAACCAGAAGCACGAGTGAAGGAGCGGCAATGAATGCCACACGAGGTGACGCACACATATGGATCGGTCCAACAGCGGAGGTGAAAGGTGAGACACCAGTGGCTGTAGCTCCTTTGGTATCCCAAAGAAACCTCGCGACAAAATGGACCCCATCTGCGTCGTACCGATCGAAACACACCCACTTTGTGGACCCAATTTCTGCAACTGAGCCCATAAACCAGCTCGATTATCGACCAACGTCGCACGTTTGAAACAAACAAACAACCAAACAAACGAACAAACAAACGACCAAACAAACAAACGACCAAACGAACAGACAGGTTCAAAACAGTCAAACAGCGTTTGATTCGCTGTCGTTGCCTCTCAATCGCACGAAACCTGCGCAATGTCATGTTCCATTTCACGCCCACCTCACGCCCATGTCGCCACGTGCGCCTGTCCGCCGTCGCCGCCGCCGCGTGCGTGACTCGATCGAGAACGACGACGACGACGTGCTGGACGCAATGCTGGTCGAGCTCGGCATACCTACCGACGCGCACGAACCCAAGCCGAGCGCTGCCGCCGCCGACGTCATTGAACTCGTGACGCCGCCGCAAACGCCCTCTGGGTACGCAAAAAAACGGCAAAAAAACCATTGCGACGAGCGTTCGATTGTCGACTTGACCACGTCTCCCTCATCGCCACAGGAGCTCTCGAGAGGCTACACGCAGACCCACTCGACAAGTGGCTGCATCGACCTCATTACACTGGAAAACAACAACTCTGAATCAAACGAATCAAACGAATCGAACGAATCAAACACACCGCACGTGTGGCCGAACTCACCGCTGTCCGAGTCCTTTGCGTCGTTGTCGTCGTGGGAAGGCACAAGTCTCAGTCGCGTCTCGTCGTCACCGGACGTTGTGGTTTCGTGTCGCTCGTCGCCCGAGTTGGCGTCGACTGATGCCGAACGTCTGCCAGCGGACCGCCAAGCGCCGAAAAAAACGCCACGGGCCAAAAAAGCGCCACAAGAGCGACGACTGTCTGCGAGTTTCGAACACTTGCGAGTCGCCATGACGAAAAAAACACAAAGCAGTGAATCAAACCGGAATCAAACAACGCAAGAGTTGGCAGGGGCTGCTATGGCTACAAAAAGAACTGCTACAGCTACTGCTGCTATGGCTACACAAACTACTACAGCTGCTGCTGGTACGGACAGTGCTGCTGCCCAATTGGATGCAGAGATTGAAGTGCCGATGTCACTGACGAGATGGAAGCAAACTCGATCGAGGGCTGCAAGTGGGACACGTCGTGACGCCACTGCCGCAGTTGGAACGTTGACGATGGTGGCAGTGGTGATGCTGCAGATGGAACAGGCGCTGAACTCGTCGGTTATGGGTCAGAGCATTCGACAGGCATTACAGAGTCACGTGTACAATGGCAAACCCGTGCCGTATACAATTGCAGCGCCGCTGGATTGTATCGTGCCGGGAGTGATTCGGTGGGAGCGGCGAGATGGCGAGATTGTGCATTGTTGCTGTGCGATCTACTACGAAGCAACGGAGTTTCTCCAGGTGTTGCAGCAGAAAAGCTACGGGGAAGTAGTTGCTGCTGTGCAGTACCTGCGAACGCTGGTCCCGACAGACCAGCACTCGACATGCGAGACTGAACGAGCTAACGAGCAGCAAGAGATTCGTAGCTTTTTCGTCATTGTTGAAGGAATGGACCGTGCGCTGATCGAAGAGAAGAAGCGGCAAAAGAAGAGGAAAACGGCTGGCTCGACTACCATCGCAAGTGGCGAGTCTCCGGCGATCACTTTTGCGGATTTGCACGAAGTGGCCTTCCAGTTGTATATGGACCTGGGAGCTCATACAAAGTTCACGTGTGACCTCGATGATACGGTGAACTACATTGCTCTGCTGACTCGTGAACTCGTGATTGCATCATCGCGTGCATCTCTTTCCGAGGAATACCTGGAAGCCGTACCTCGGTGCAACTCATTCCGAGTGACTCATACCGGAGCTACTACAAGTGCGTGTGCCAACACTTGGTTGCGAATGCTCCAAGTCATACCTGGTGTGAGTGAGGGCAAAGCGCAGTGTCTTTTGGACCACTTTCCTACGTTCGACAGTCTCATGCGAGCGTATCAAGACCCGAACGCAACGCTTGCGCAGAAACAGGATCTTGTGGCGGACAAATTGCGCGACGGTCGGATTCAGCGAGCTCTTTCGAAGCGCATTTACTCTGTCTTTTGCGAGGAGAACCCCAACGCGTTGGTGTAGCTGCACAGCTTCGATACGGTCCAGCGTGCATTGCTCATCATGCTCAAATGGGTATCGGAGTCTTCCAGCAATTGTCGTGATGCGATTGTGCACATAGCTCATCATCGAGGCGCTTCGGCACAACGTCTCTCCAGCCCAGTTGCTTGTTAGACCGTGCATCGCGACAAGGTCTTTCCTGTTCGACCAAGCCAAGTGGCTGTGCAGCCAGTTCGAGTCCGGGTCGTTATGCAGGGCTGCCATGAAGCACCGTATGAAGTACAAGGTCGCAGAGACGCTCCACAGGCGTGATGATCGTGCGTTTATCGTCACCACTGGGACTGCAAACCTCAACGATCTGGTCCGCCTCTTTGCTCGACAAGTTGACTCATTCGAGCACCTCGATCTCAGGACGTAATGGGCACCGGGACGAGATGTCCTACAAGCTTCGACCTTTCTTGGATAGAGCTCCTCCAAGCGGGTGCAACTGGATCGCGTATCGCAAGATGGTTGACTACACCTTGCGTACATTCTGGTGCACCCTCCAAGGAGTTGACATCATTGCCTACAACTCGTACGTGGCATGCCATTGCAGTAACGCACGCGTCATTCGCGAAAGCGGAAGCGCTATCGTCCACGATGTTGACACTGAATGACGAGATAAGTGCGCACGCGGCGACCATGATAAGGATCAGCAGTCAATCTCTTTTGTGAGATTCTCGTGCATGTGTCAAGGAAGCCATGTTCAGGCAATACGATCCCACGCTATCCGACTGTTTAACCCGAAGATGCAGATTGCGTGAGTGCTGCAATCTGTCGCGTTGCAACTCTGATGGATGTTGATGAAAGGATGCAGACTGAGAGAAGAATATGACTGCAGACGGGCGGAAAGTTTACACGACAAGTAAAGATGAAAGCGTTTGGGTTATGCTGCACAGATTATATGCACAGTGCTGGTCTCGAGGCATGCATGCTGCATGGAGGTATCATCATGTACCCACATCAGCCATGCGAGAACAACAACAACAACGACAACCAGAAACGCATCAGCTTCGTGGTGAACCACGCCCTGCGTCGCTGCGAGCATATTGTCAGCTTGCGCAAGACAGCTTGTTTTGTCACCTCGCTGAAACAGTCGATCTGAAGTTCGTGGCACGCACGGTAGTATGACAAGACCACGACAACGACTGTCTGCCGCTTTCAACGAGATAGTGCACCGAAACGTGTTACAAGTGCTGAAGTTTACGCACCGATGGTGTCCGAACTTGACTTGCGCGAAGGATCCAACGGGTAAAAGTCGTGTCTGGGCCAGCACCCGCACGATACATGGACCAAAGTGTACGTGGTAGCTCCCATAGAGCCATTGTACCCAGCGATCTTACTTGACGGCCACACAACAATGAGACCATTTGAACGAGACGGACAGCTCGTTAGCTCGTCGTCCACGTCTGCTTCGGTAGAACGACAAGATCGTATCGTCACAAGCAGTTCGCTTCGGTTCCCCCACGTTGGATTGTCCCGTCACAACGTGATCCATAACATCTCGCGTTTGCTGTATCGACATCACACGAAGAGCATTTGACGCACTCGGACTGTTCGATCGCTGCTGATGACAGCGTAGACGCAACAAAATTCCTGTTGTCTGCACAACGAGATGAAGAAGCGGCACTGTGAACGTTGTCGAAGCAGCCGACGGTGATTTAACGCCATCGTGACCCAGGACCATTCTTCGAGCACAGCAGACCCACGTCTTGCAACTTGAAAGCAGAGTCCAAATTCTCCATAACGAACACGGCGTTGCTGCACAAATGTTCACCATCGCATCCTACTTCGCAGACGAGCTTGAGGAACATGCCGAGTAGGCGGTATCACTGCTTGCAACGTGCGAAAAACTGCTGGTTTCATCACCGTCGATCACACGGAAACCCGACATGTCTTCACGAAGACGCTTGCCTGCTACCAGACTATCCACCACCCAGCGCGCTCGAACGACATGCAGCTTCCTCTTGACAGCCTTATCGTATTTCATACCAAAGGGCAGAAGACAGACGAGGTGAGTGTTTCGCTTGCTCAGTGTGCTCGTAACCTGAGCACCAGCAATCCGTAAGAGTTCAACAACCACAAGCTGTTCAACGTCACGATATACTGAAGTGGAGGCCACCACATGTTCAAAGCCTGGTAGTGGAACGGAGTTTGGGAACAAGGCCCGTGGATAGTTGGCGCTGATTCCAAAGAGTTCATGCGACGCAAACGACAATTTGGTCCTCGCTGCTAGCGAGCAGTTCACCCACAGATCCGACACGAATTGCAACAACCGTTGTCGCGGCTTCGACTTGTTGTGCCGCACTCGCTTCAGAGATCGGTCAGCAACGTCTTCTGCGTTATCATCATCGACTGGATCTCCTGCATTGCAGTTGCGCTGAAAGTCGTGGATGCGGTCTTGGATTTTCAGTGACGCCTGTTCATCCATCACTGCGCCAGTGCACACGACTGCATGACTGACAAACACAAACTGTTCTGGATCGACGTGTGGAAAATCAATGGCAGCAATGGCGATTGCCTCGGCACCTCCTCGCTCTCCTCGAATATTTGCGAGCATTGGTGCAATCGCGTGCTCGTCTTCAGGGTCTCGGCAGAGCAGCAAGAAGGAGTAACCTGCAAAGATACGAGCCTGTTTTGTCGTGGAACAAGGCTGCGGCATGGTCAGCTCTTTCGCCATGGCACTGCTGCCGTCTGCTCGTTGCAATGATTCTTCGGGCACGGTACTTGAATCCAAGCTCACTGCCTTTGTTGCCTTGACGTGTGCTTGGTCGGAAGCAAGCAGAGAATCGCCGTTGTGGATGACGGTCGGGGTCGTGTTCGCACTCAGTTGATGTGCAAGCGTCAGGACATTCCCGTCCAGCTCAACTGGGTACAATTCTTCGGGTTGCAAGTCCAAGCACTTGACACAGTCGAGAAGCCAACTCGTCGACACGAAGTGCACCATGCTACTGCTTGTGTCAGTAGCCACGCGAGCCTTCATGGTTTCCAGCGCCTGCTTATCCGACAACGACGCGCTCACGATCACATGTGTCACGTGTCGCGTCACGAGCGTATGGTATATTGTCCCCATGCCAGCCCGGATCAACTGCTGCAGTAGCGTCGTCATCTGTGGTGGAAAGCCCAGCAGATAGAGAACGCAGCAGTCGAACAAGTCGGTCCATTGCGCATCGTCTTCTTCGTCTGCAGTAGCGTCGTCCCTGTGCTCCTTCTGTGTGCGACGATAGTTTCTCACGTGCTCAGGCAACGCTGCAACAAGTTCTTGCGCGCGTATTCGCTGATCCACGGTATGCCTCGCGTGTTGCAAACCTGGATCCACTGCTTCCGGCAACAATGCAAACTCGTCTTCTTCCACGAGCCTTTGGCGCTCCAAGCATGCATACAGCCACCCAAGATGCACGACGGGAATGTCGTTGTCCACCGCTGCTTCGTACTTGGCTCCTTCTGGATGCTTCCTCACCGAAAACGAATCAACAGCAATCGCCACACAGCAGAGCTACCGTCATCTCTCTTATTCTCTCCCTCTCTCACTCACGCGGTCCCTCTGCATATGCTCTCTCACCTGTGCAATGAGTACACTAGTGAACCCCAGCTCTAAGCGTCCATCGTATTGCGCTCCGAGCGTCGTGGCCAAGTGCTCCACCGTGTCTTTTGCTTCAACAGTGAGTCCAGATGTACACACCCCCATTCCTTCCAGGGCCCTGAGCTTGAACTCCTGAACGTCCAGCAGCTTCTCGGCTCGAAAGCTCTCAAAGACCCAACGAGGAGACGCCACGGGAAGCTCGTGGGCCACAGCAACCTAAACAGCATAGCACCGCCACCGACTTAGTCGAACCGCAATGCTTGACGCGGCCGTAGCAGCAGCAGCAGACTACTACTTGACATGTAACGTCGGTCACCAAATGGCGTCTGGTAAGCGTACGCGGTACTTCAGAGAGCCCACAGCCGTAGCAATCACGTGAGTTGTGATTTCCACATTGAGGTCGTCGTGGAAACAACCGCCACACGCGACAATCGTCTTGCGAACTTGATCCTGACATACGCAACAACATGTACACATACACATCGGTTGACATTATTGATACCGTCTGACGATCAACTGACGAAAAACGACAAGGAAAACAAAAAGAGAAGAGCGCTAGTGCGCCAAGCACCGCGTGCATTGGCTGATCGAGCAGCCGCACGTCGAGAGAGAGAGAGAGACGAGACGCACACCTTTACATTCAGGTCCAGGCCCGTCGAGCAGAGAGATAGTCCTGCAAACAATTGCGTTTGTTTGCCCATATCCACGCGAAAAGATCGGCCGATTCTTTTTTCCAAAGAGCTCTTTGCAATTCGGATAGTTTTTCGAAAGTGGCAGTTACGTTCTCATTTTCCACATGGTATATATATATATATATCTGTGTGTGTGTGTGTGTGTGGTACGGGCTCAGCGAGAGCGAAGGACAACGCGTGACAGGATCGTGGGCAACAGAGCGATGCAAAAAAAGACACGTGTCGAGAGTGTTCAGATGGCACTGTCCGTTTACGTGGAAACGGTAGCAAGACACCACACAACGTCGTCGTTGGTCTTGACCGCTCTTTTCTGCGGACGCAGCTTGGCTTTGTTCCTCAACTCTGTGCTTTGCTCTGGCAGCTGTCCTGCTTTTCCGATCTTGACATTTATTTCTGTGACGCAGCAAGTGGTGACTACAGTCAGGAGCTGGTCGGGTGCATAGCTGAGAATGTTCCCGTGGAGACACGTACATGTTCAGCGAAAAGTGCCGAGACGTGCGCCGAAGAAGAGCGGACGAACAACGAGTACGGTCGCACCAACGAGGAGACAGGAACCGCGAACACACGACCATCGCAAGCTCCACATGTCGCTCTCGATGGTCTTCATCGACTATATTCCAAGCGTTGCTGCACGTGCTCAAGCACATCCCACGGAGAGAAGGATCCGACGTTGTCCGAGCTTCCTCCCCCTCTCCCCACGTCCCTCTCTCCTTCTCTCTCTCTCTCTCTCTCTCTCTCTCCAGTAACGGCGGCAGTTGAGACTCGAACGGTAGGAGAGAGCTACACGCGTCCAAGCTGCTTCACGTTTTCATCCGCACCATGATGTCTCCACTGCTCGCACTGCTTCGGGCCTATCTTTGACGCAGCTCTTTTGCTGCAGCGTCCATTACGATGGCTTGACGACGGTCTTTGCCACGGCGCTCGCGCACGAAAGACAACGAAGCGTCGGCGCCACCATCAGCTGCTGCGCTGCACAACACGTCAAAGCACTGCTCGATCTTCCGCAGCTGGTGAAGAACGAGAAAGTGCTCGCTGCCCTGAGGGATCAATTCGTCATAGTACGCGTTCACCTCAATCTCAATGTCCTGCAAACATGACAACACATGCCTCAAATTAGTCGCCAGCTCGCACCTTCGTATCAACGAATGCGCAACTTCATCGCACCTTCAGGCGGTTCTCGTACACGGGAAGCTGGTCCTTGTCAACTGCTTTGCTGCTCGTCGATGAACGTGGCTGGAAGATGAAGCGAGGGGCACGCACGGGGTACTCGGGCGAGATCTCCACCATTGCCGATACCTTTGTTCCACCATTCTTGAAGCAAGCGCGAAAGTATCGGCAGCCTGTCGTCGAGAGATGAAACCGCGCGTGCGGACGCGAGGACGAAGCAGCACTGTCTCCAAAATGCAGGAACACGTCTCGTACTGGCGCAGGCACTTCTTTCCACTCCTCCAAGTGCGTCTTGACTTCGCACGGGAAGAGCTGACGCGCAAGCGGGTGCACAAATCGAGCACCATCGTCGACGGATGAGATTGGACGGCCGGTGCACTTAGCAAGCACGTTCAAGTGTTTCTTTAGCACCGCCGTGGCCACAAAGCGTTTGGAAAGCTGCTCCATGACATTACGTATCGACGGCTCTGGTCGGCGACGACGCTTCTCCATTCCGGCGTCGTTGTCCGATATAGACTGGTCCGGACGCTTCGTCGGGTTCAGACCGCAGATCCATTGTGCCCAGAAGTACGGCCGACAGGTAGCAGTGACCGGAAACGCCACTTCAGCTCGCTTGTCGCTGCCATCTCTGAAGGCATAGTTCACAGCCAACTGGGGTACAGTCAGGCCATCGTCGCCCGGAAACAAATTCATCAGGATGCTGTGCTGGTGGCCGCCTGAATCAGAACTAGCACTGGCCGAGGTTTTTACGACCCCGGCCGTGACAATCCTGGCCACTGGAAAGTACTGGAACATCACAGTGAAAGAGCGTGTCACGTGCTTGGCTGCGTCGTTGCTCTTGTCGTTATCCACAGGAACCCGAACGGCTACTGTCAGCTGTAGAGCTTTCGCATGCGGCATCCATAGATTTTCTGCAGATGGAGATACATCGGCAATACCATCCAGTGCCAAGCCCGAGTGCTTTGGCTCGACATCGACTTCCTTCATCTCCTCGTCTTCTATCGGCGACGCGTGAGGACGCAACTCCAGTAGCTTTTCAGCAGTGTGCAAAGCCACCACGATCTCTCCTTTCTCCGGCTCCTGAGCAGCTTCCGCTCCGCGCTTGATCGATGGCGAGCGAGACGGGGCACAATTGTCAGCTGCCGGCGAGACAGCTCTACTAGCACCAGCAGATGGTGAGCGTGACACTGTCTTGTGTCTCTTTGACCCCGCAACTACCGAACGATCCTGACGGTCAAACGCAAGAGGGAACTCGCGTTTGCGAAACGGTCCCTGGTCCATCTTCACACCACACGCGTCGACAATGTCCAGTCTCAGCGACTCACCAGCATCTCCGCTAGCAATTTGGTAGGCTTCTAGCTCGCAATACAGCGCATACAACGGCGTTGCCAGCTCCATTTCGGCCGCCTCACGTCGTTTGCGCTGCGCCGTCACTGGTTGTCCCATAACCTTTTGTAACCCCATTGTTGCGGCTTCAATTTGTGCCAACTGATCCGGTAACGAGTCGAGGAACGCGCGTTTTGTCTTGGTCTTGTTTTGTACATCAACAACCTGAAGCTTCAGCTGCTTCAGCTCGACCTGGAGACTACACAGCAACAGCAAAGCAGAGATCACGATCAATCATCAGTAATGCCTTTGACCAACACCGATCGTCTTGCAGCTCGTAAACTACCGTCTTGCCACACGTAAACTACCGCTGCACCACATAAACTACCGTCACACAAACTAGACACAAACTGTCGACCCGCGCCAAGTACGTCTTTCCAAACCGCATACATCGACTATCAACTTAGCGAAACCACCAAAACACACAATGCCTCGTCACCTCTTTCGTCGATGGAGCTCCTGCGTCAGCTGCGCCAAGTGCTGGCGGTGCGCGTCTCCATCGGCCGTGATCGGCACGTTGCCATCGACAAACTCAATCTTGTCCATCTCCTTGGCGGAAAACCCCCGACAGCGCTCAATCTCGCGCACCAAGTGGTCCTTCTCGTACAACAAGTTCTGCAGCTGCAGCTGGTGCGCCTCGGCCACGTCCTTTTGCTCCTGGACACACGTGCGCCGCGCGTCGGCCGCCAAGAACGTGTCGCGCAGTCCGGACTTCATCGCACTGAGCAGCAGCACGACGCGCCATCGACGCTGACTCGTCGACTTGTCGTCGAACGGCCGGCTGCTGCGCTGCTCGTAGAGCGTCGTCAGCTCGTCGCGGAGCGTCTCGCACGTCGTGCGGAGCTGCTCGAGCGGGGCGGGTCGTTGAGCCATGTATCAATTGTGTGGTGTCGAGAGCGTACTTATGGGTGAGAGGGGGGGCAGGGCGGGAGGGGTCTGTGTGGGAAGGTCGAATCTGATACCTGGGTTTTACGGCCACTCATTGTCTGCAAGCGCAGCTTCCTCGGTGGGTGTTGGTCGGTTTGGGTTTTTCACGAAGTGGTAAATTACCACGCGGACGAGAATCTAAATGTGTAGCCATTAGCCATTGATTTTCGACACACACACACACGTCCCATCTTTTGGCAGCGGAACGAGTGGTCAGACAGGAAGAAGTATGCTACGTCGGGCTGCTGGTCATCGCTCTCGCGGCGTCGTGGCCCGTCTGCCGATGACGCGGTCGTTTGCCAAGAAGGCGTCTCCTGCGCAGTCGGTGCTGCGCCCCATTCACTTTGAGCACGACGACGATGTAGGGCCCGTGCTGCATGTGTCGCTGTACCCATGAGGCGAAAGTGTAGCCATACATGACTGGATGCCAGGAGCTCTGTGTACAGGACTAATGGCTACATGTATGTGATGCGTACAGGATACTCGCGAGCGACCGTATCGTATTGTCGGCGTGCGGGACGTAGAGGTGCAGGACTGGGAGTACCCGACGCGGATGGAGGCCGACGAGAAGAACAAGCAGCGCGTGCTGCGGAATCGCTTTGGCCATCCGAACTTTATTAGCCTCTGGGTGGACAAGCTGAACGAGGTGGAAGGCTACTTGAAGCAGCAGCGCGTGCCATACTCAAGTGAAGGCATTGTCCAAGGCCCCGAGGGGCATGACGTGCTCGTGATTCCCCCGAGCGACGATGGCAGCAGCATTGAGTTTTTCAACTTGTGTGATAACCCGACGATGGTGGAGCTCGTGCAGGCTCCTCCCGATGTCATTAAGGAGTTTGAAGACGACAGCGTGGAGCAGTCGTAGAGTCAGGAGGAAGCGAGGGACGTTGCAGCTGTCAAAGCAAAAGATACGATACGTTGCACGTCGAGACAGACGACGTCTGGAGCTGCGCCGGGGGCGAACGAAGAGGCAGAACAGGAGACGTCCACGAGCTTGGCTGGTCAAGTTGACGTGGCATGTTGCGGGCGGGTACAGACGTTTGCTCGTGTTGTGGGAATGCATACGTAAATGGACAGCTTCGATGCATCATATTACATGTTTGACGTCTCTGATAAAAAAGCTATGCTACCTCACTCATGTGCTTTGCTGGCGGTCACACACACGCGTCTCTTCTCCATAACGAACAACAGCGCCACAAGTCGACTGCTCAGTTGGTCTTGACACACCTTTGCAAACGCTGGCTTCACTCCTTCAACCACGGGTGCTCCAATGCGTCGGCGGCAGTGATGCGCTTCTCCGGGTTACGCACGAGTAGAGCTTCGATGAAGCGCTTGAGGTCGTCGGACGCACCGCTCCATGCTTCGTCGGCGAAAAACACCTTCTTCACTCCCTCGACTGTGGGCAAGAAAACGGGTGCACACCCGCTTGCCAGCACATACGTAACCACGCCCACGCTCCACAGATCAGCTTCTGTGCCATAGCCCTTGCCGCTCATTACTTCAGGCGCAATGTAGTCGCGTGTCCCACACTTGGTGTGTGCTCGAGCCATGCGGTTCCGCACCATGTCAGTCGAAGACGGCAAACCCGAAGCGTTTGTGCCCGGTGCGTCAAGGAGGTTTGCGACCTCGGACAAACTCTCGTGAGGCGTGAGCACATTGTCATGGCCATTGCCTTCGAGCTTCCGCGCAATGCCAAAGTCCGACAGCTTAATGTCGCTCACGTCTTGGCTGCAAGGGGGTAGCAGGATGTTCTCCGGCTTAATGTCGCGATGCACAATGCACTCGGCGTGCAAGTACGCGACTGTACGCACGAGCTTGCGAATCAGGGGACGTGTGACAGACTCGGCCAGTGGTCCGTTCCGGTCAATAAACTCAAACAGCTCCTGGCCGCACATCTCCATGACCAGAAACACACAGTCGTTGCTCTCAAAGAGCTCCAGCAGCCGCACGACGCCATCGTGCCGCAGGCCGTACATGATCTCCAGCTCGCGCTTGAGAAACCGGATCTCAATCATCTGTCGCTTGTCAATAATCTTCACGGCAAACTGCTCGCCCGTCGGCCTCTTCGTGCACTGCTTGACCACTGAGTACTTGCCGGATCCCAGCACCGCGCCCACCGTGTACTGGTCATAAAAGTCGCGTGCAACAGGTACACCGTCCAGCAGCTTCTCGATCGAAAACAGCTGCATGGGCGTCCGGGTGTTCCTGCTCGGGTCCAGGTCGTCCGACAGCGACAGCGACATGCGTCCCGACGGCGGCGTTTCCTTCTCTTTGATCGGCTGCAGATAAGTAGGCGCGCTCGACAGCACGTCACCGTTCAACATGAGCAACGGACGCTCTCCTTCCGACGCCCTTCGCATCGAGTAGCTGTCCACATGCGGCAGCAGCAGCGGTCGCTGCGTCTTCTCTTCAACTGCTGCAGACGCCGCTCCTGTCGCTGCTCGTGGACACACTGGTGACGTAGCTACCAAGAACGGGTCCCCAAAGTCGTCCGTCGACGACGTCGTCGACGCGCGCACGTCCATCGACATGAAATCCTGCGACAAGTGCTCGAGCACCGCCGTGTTGTGCGTCGTTTTTGTTGCAGCAGTAGCAGTCCCAGTAGTAGTAGCAGCCGCCGCCGCTGGTCCATGCAGCACACGCCGCACGCGCGCCGCGTTGCGGTGCACGACAAAGTGCTCCATGGCGTCGACCACTTGTTCGTCGCCGACAATGAGCATCTCTTCCAAGTGCTCGCGCTCTTTCCGCGACACGTCCATGTGCAGCAACTCGGACGCGTAGCGGTGCACGCGCTCGGCATTGTGCGTGACGGACTTGGCGCGGCCTTTGCGCTTGAGGCCGAGGCAGCCCGTGGGCGAACTCGCAGGACTCACGTGGCGCGGCGAGTGGCCGCCCGACGTCAGCACAGGCGTCACGCAGCCCTGGTCCACGAGCGTCCGGAGCTCTTGGCACGGCGTGTAGACCAGCACGTCGCCGTCGCGCACGTCGTCGAGGCTCGTGACGCGCGTCTCGAGGCGCTCAGTGGTGTGGCGCCGCGCGAGGCGCTCGGCGTGCGCGGCGAACGCAGCGAACGATTTGCCGAACGCGACTTCGTGGAAGCGCACGATGAGCGCTGTGGGCGACGCGGGCGCGGGCGGGACGGCGAGCGCGACGGTCCCTGCGCGGTCCTTCATGCGGACAAAGACAGTCAGCGCAGCGGCGCGAGTGGTAGCGGTAGAGGCGGCGGCGGCGGAGGAGGCGGCGGACGTCGTGTCGGTGCGGGTGTAGGGGTGCGGGTGGACTTGGCGGGCTGGCGACGGCAGCGGTGGGGGCGTCGCGAGGGGCCACGTGGGCGGCATGAGGCACGAGACGGACGGACGGACGAACGGCCCGACGAATGTCGAGGGGGTACGCACGATGAAGAGTGACATGGCCACGGCCACAGGCCGGTGGGCGCGAGGAGGGGCGGGCGATGGCACTAAAGCGGGGGCACGCGCCCACAGGGGCCGCGGATTGGCCGATCGATCGAGTGCACCGAGACGGCGGTGGGCAAATCGTCGTGTTGTTGTAGTAGTTGTTGTTGTTGTTGTGGGAGTGGTAGCTGCTGTTTGTGTAAGCGCGCGCTGGAGACTCGCTGGGCTAAAAATAGACAGCGAGCCGACGGATGTGTTGTAGGAATGTATGTAGGTAGGTAGGAATGTATGTATGTATGCATGTAGGAATGAACGTCTGTTTGAATCTCAGTATGCATGTGTGTCTGTCTGTTTGTGGGGAGGATGGGATGGGGACGCGAGCCACGGCAGACGAGGCTGGTTGATGGAAAGGTCGAAAAGGCGCGGGCGACTGACTGACTGACTCGAAGCGGGGGGTGGCTGGCTACCGTGGGAAGAAACAGGGCATGTCTGCCGTGATGCTTGAGCGGCAAATGTCTCGGCGCGACATGCTACAGCTGCCCCGTGCAGCGAACAGCATCCGTTTGTTTGTTCGTTCGCTCGCTCGCTCGCTCGCTCGATCCGATCAATGCGGTCACGCGGTCGCTGGTGTCTCCTGACGAGCAGCTCGTCGTGTGCGTGTTTGAGCCGATTCGAAACCAGTGGCAACAACAACTGCAACTATAACAACAATGACACTGCAACATACGACTGGACCTGTAAGAAATCCGAGTGGCATCTGCGAAAGACGCGTCGTGTAGCTCCGAGCGGGTCGTCGCCGTGCAGGCAGTCACCGACGCCCGTCTCTCGCGTGCGGTAGCTGTTCAGTCAACGTGCAAGGAACAGCTGGTGCACGACGAGTGGGCGCTGGCGCCAGCGCCAGTGCCGCCTGTCACGCGTGTCTCAAACGCCAGGAAAACAGGAAGACCCGTGCGCTGACCAGGACAATGTCAGCAGCGTCTGTGGCGATTGATTTTTCTTTCCTTCTTTCTTCTTCTTGACAAGCAGCAGGGGCTGCGACGTTGTCCAGACCGAAAACGTAGCGCGTTGACGGCTGTTGAGTGTATTCTGTTGATGTGGTCGGGTTCTCAAAGTGGAGACTGTGCTTTGGTGTTGTCGGGTAGATGGATATGCGGGTGGGTGAGTGAATGTTTCCTTTGTTTGCGCTTTGTTTGCGCTCTGATTCTCTTGCGGGAGCCAACGCGTCAACAGACGGTCGTGCGTGAAAACAGGTGCGACAGCCGCAACCGATTGCAGCGGTCGACGCCGAGTCACAGTGGAGAGAGACGACTTACTGGATGTTCAGTTACCGCTACGAAAGACGAGAGCAAGCAAGCAAGCAAGCAGGTGGTGGACAGAAACAGCTGCACAACGAGGCACCATCCTGCTGGCTGAGCGCGTCGGCGATCGTGACGCGGGACTGCCGCACCTTTTTCTCGCGAGTGTGCTTCAGCGCTGACAAATCCGTCTACACTTGCGGCCGCTTTCGTTCGTGCGGCTGTGGGGGGGGGTGCCCGAGTTGTTGGTTGTTGTATGAAGGACTTGGCGGGAAAAGATTGATGGCGAGTGCGGTGGCGAACGGCTGTCGGTACGCGACCTTGTCGAGAGGTCAACGGCGAGAGCGCTCGTGGCTTCGCAAAGATGAGCTGTCGTTGCGTCGGAAAATCCACTCGCGCGGGTCGGATACCATGTGGAACTCTGCCCCTCTTGTGAACGTGTGCGACCTGAGCCACACTCGCAATGGCAGCTGAGGCTTTTGTTGAATAGGTCAGGGAATCACTGGAGCTTGTCGCCGCAACTACCCTTTGCAAGCGGACGTTTGTCAAGCCTAGAAGATGATAGGGGTGGTTACACAAAAGCTTAGAGGACCCATCAGCATGCTCTTTCGACCTCACAAGAGCTGATAAACGAACATGCATATCTGTTGCTGCAAGAACTGAGCTTAGCAAGTAAGTGCTTACGAGCTCACGGACCGTTGACGACACCAAGCGGAACGGACGGACACCTACAGAGAGAGCCAGAAGCGTTCAGGCTGGCCTTTTCGTCACGCGATAGTACTGAGCTAACGTCAGGCTGAACAGACGGAGGTCAAGAAGAGGAAGAAGACGAATTACACTGTATCGCTACGATGCATCGCCTCGTCTTGTGCCAGTGATAGACAGGTGAGACTTCAGCTCGATGCACCCACAGCACGACAAGAAGGATTACCTATTGATATAGCGACCACAACATATGGTACGAATGCGCCATCTCGACCGACAGTTCTCTTCGCGAGGGTGGTCTTACATGAATGCTAACATACGATGCCTGTCAGCTAACCTACAATGCAAGTCAGCTACCGTACGATGCAAGTCAGCTAACGTACAAAACCTGTCAGCTAACGTACAATGCATGTCAGCTTACATGCATCGCCGGTCGACACATCATGT